CAGCAGCTATTACTCCAGTCTTCAGTGTCACATGATCTTTCAGAAATCATTCCAACATGCTTATTTGAAACATTTCTTATTATTGTTTTTTTTTTTTTATATATAAAAAAGTCTTAAGTCGCTGGGGTATATTTGTAGCAATAGCCAAAACATTATAAGGTTACAATTAACAACTTAACTCAAACTTAAATTTAATTACTATTTATTTTTAAATATAATAACCAACACTCAACTTAAAAAAAATGTATGCAAACATGTAAATCGCACATTATGCAGTTTTTAAATGAACTTATAAATTATAAAATTTATATTTGTTAAAATATATTCAATTACACAGCGGCTGTCATAACATGTTTCATAACAGATTAATTTAAACATACATTAAATAAACATACATTAAATAATTAAGACTAACAGATAAAGTAAAATATAACGAGTATTTAGTGTAATATTTCGCGAAATGCTCTTCTCTAGACTTCATTTCTCTGGTGAACTAACGAGCTGTGGACACTGATGACTTGCTGAGGTAAATGAAATGCTGCGTGACATTTTGTTTACAAGCTGTTTTGTTGACATCTTTCCGCGGTTCAAACACTGATTGAGCAATTACATGAGATGCTCCTTCATGTTTATTCGCGTTAAAACTAGTAGTACAGAGGAAGAAATGATCGCGTTCACTCGCGCTCCGCTCTGCCGTTAGAAAGGACCCCATTTACACTGCACAAGTCTGCGGCGCGTTACGGCTCAGACACGGGAACCGGAGCTGATCGCGGCCGCACTAGTCAATCTTTATGCCAGCACGTTTCTGAACCGTACCAGAAGCGGCTCTCCGAGGCGTTTATACTGCGATCTGTCATGCCACATCAAAGACTGTCAAAAACGCCATTTATTGTTTGAATTTCCAGAAAAAAATATGCTGTATTTGTTCGGTACAAAAATTTTCGGTAGGCTACGAATACGTGTACCGTTACACCCCTAATATATATAAACAATTTGCAAATTACTTTTTTTAAAAATCAATTTAATGTATTCTTGCTGAATAAAATAATGGATTTCTTTATCAATCTATCAATCAATCAATCATATCTATTTTGAATGGTAGTGTAAGTGTGTGCATAAGTAATTCAAATCCTTTGTTTAAAAGCTTAACCCCAACTACTATATGAAGCAGTTACAGCAAGATACTAGCAAACCAGAGAATTGTGATGGCTGACATGATTACAGCAAATCCTCTAAACTTAAAATCATACTTGCGGACCTCTGCGTGAAAATCTTACACATTGTGAATGCCTATCTTGCAGTAACTTGTCATTACTTAAGCGAAAAGTCAACGCCTCCCACCGTTATGCTGGCGGTTTTTACGTTTTCTTCAACACACACAGCTAAGCAGGAATGTTTTGCTGGAGTCTTATGTCTTTGGCAAGGCGCCCGTATTTCTAAAAATTGACCCTTATGACTGGTTTTGTGGTCCAGGATCACATATTCCTCTAAACTTAAAATCATACTTGCGGACCTCTGCGTGAAAATCTTACACATTGTGAATGCCTATCTTGCAGTAACTTGTCATTACTTAAGCGAAAAGTCAACGCCTCCCACCGTTATGCTGGCGGTTTTTACGTTTTCTTCAACACACACAGCTAAGCAGGAATGTTTTGCTGGAGTCATGGGGAATAAGAGATAAGACTCAGAACAGACCACGCTTCCAACACGACTCTAATCTTTTGCCTTTGCCACCACCTTGAATCTGGCGGTAAAAAAGCCCTTTCATAAACCATGGATTTGCATGAGATTTGTCTCGCAAACTTTTTTCAGGTCAAGCCCAAATGCCACACAGATACGGTCTGTGATCCAGCAACAGATGGGCCCCAAGATAGAACAGCAAATTCTGCATGTTTCCAATGTGAAGCATTGTGAGCTGCTGCTTTACCATCTCTTTACCAGACTACAGCCATCTAAACTTGCAACATCCTAAATTAAAGTCTCACTAATATTGAAATAAATACAAATGCAGCAATGACTTCAAAGCAAGATGGCACAAAATAACTATAATTATAAAATAAATGAAATTCAATATAATTTATCCCCCCAAAATGTCAAGTTATAATAAATTTCCTACTTTATTCTGATTGTTTATTTGTAACATCTAAAATGACATTTCAAAAAATCAAACATCACAGAAAGTAAAAAATTATTAATGGTGATAATAATGATAGTGGTAATAGTAATTAATAATTACTTAATTATATATAAAATACAATTTAAAAGTAATTCAACACTTATATACATATTCACTTCACGTGACATATTGATGATAAATATCCACGCTTATGATCTTGTCACAATATTATTTGCCTAGCAGGGGCCACCATGCTATAATATATATTGCATTCATTTTAAGTCCTTCTGACAGAGAGCATGATTAAATATTCACTTTTTAACATACTTATGGAAGAATCCCATTATATCAGTGGGCCATCTGTTGACACTGAAAGTGTTATCTTGAAGTGCTACTGCTTGACACAGTGCTGGTGGAGCACTGACTCATTTCCTCCAGCACTTCACTTCAAAGAGCGAAACAACCCCTCACAACCCAGACTAAACATGAAATCACTAATCGATGGCTGCATGAAGCGGCAGATAGAGGTGTGTGTTGTGAGATAAACAGTGAGAGAGTCTATGTGAGCAAAGCATATATTTTCCTTATTATTTAAATTCTTAAACAACCACAAGGGGGCAATCCAGAGCGAGACAGAGACCAGCTGTTAATGTCCTCTTTGATTCCAATTCCTCATTTTCACACTCTTTGGTTTTTCTCTCTTTCTGTGGAGAGTGACTTTTTTCTACTGTTTTTATGTTCCAAAATGATCATTTATTATAAACGAATTAGAAAATTCTAATTAAATTCTAATTACACTTACAGTACATTATTATATTAAATACAAAATAATTAATACATTTAATAATAATCTCTGACTAAATAAAAACAACATACTAAAACAATACACTGTAAAAAATTATTACAATAATCTTAGCATGCTCATTCATTCATGTTTCAAGAATTCATGTTTTGTCTATGGAGTCTCTGAGACCCAAACATAAAGTAACACTTTTCATAGAGAATGAATCATGTTATTGTTTATAATGAATTCTCATGAGAGAGACTAATAAAGTATCAACGTGATGACTCTTAATCTCAATGCTAGGTATTTTTCAAGCTATTAAAATGCCCTTGGGATGTTTGAGACGTGACACACATGTTAAAACAGTCAAGATACTGTATAAAAGCATCATATTTTTTTGTATAAGCTATTCAATTTCCACTTTCTGTCATAAATGCCTTCTATCTCATAATTATGACATTAGATCTCATAAAGATGACTATGTTATACTTATTATTTAGCAAAGCTTGAGATTTGGCAGAAAAGTTCCCCTTTTGAATGACCTTTTAAATCTCCGTAAGATAAAACCGTGTTGTTCACAGGAACAGTCTATCACATTTTCTTTGGCAAGGCGCCCATTCTTGTTTGCTTCTTTGACAACCAGTTACACGAAAAAAGCCACAGTATGTGTTTGAATAGCTGAATTCATCTCCCCTGAGCTACAGTGTATCAAAGAGTGCATGTACACACAATTGCTTCTCCAGACTTAGGCCCAATCCCAATTCTATTTTATACCCCTTCCCCTACCCCTACCCCTCCGCTTACCCCTTCCCCTTGTCTCTTGAAACAGAGTGTCAAGGGGTAGTGTATACACATCATCATACGTCGTCT